GGGAGAGACAGAGAGAGGGAGAGAGAGAATCCCAAGCAGGCTCCGCCTTGTCAGCACACATGCAGGGCTCCATCTCATGAACCATGAGATCATGACCTGAACCGAAATCAAGAGTACAACACATAACCAACTGAGCCACGTAGGGGCCCCTGGCCTGGATTTTGAAGGCAATCCGATGCTGTTAAAAATTTTTAAGCAAGAGAGAGAACTAAGCATATTTGTTTCTTGAAAGATTTCTCTGGATGCTATGAATAAATTGGAAGGACCAAACAAAAATATTTTGCAGGAATTCAGGAAAGAGAAGAGGATGGTTTGAACTAGAATAAGGGTAATACAGGTGGAGAAGAGTAGGTGGGCTTCAAAACACAAGAATTAGTGTTTAATTCAATATGGGGGTCGAGAAGAAAGAGGGTCTGATATTACATCCATGTTTCTAACTTGAGAAAATCATGAAATTGTACTAATCATAAAAATGGAAGAAATCCAAGGATACACACATTTGGAAAGGTGCAGTATTGTTCCAACTTTGGACATAATGAATTTTAGATACTTGTTTGATGAGGAGGAGCTCTTAAGTAGGCTGCTGGGTAAACTGGCTGACGATACAAATTTGAGAATGTCTCCAAATCTATTTAGGTACAGAGCCTAGACTGAAACAAGGCTCCTTCTCAATTATTTAGGTTGTATTGCACAGTGACAGCAGGACACAGATATGCACAAAGGAGAAACCAATAACAGATACCCCTTGTAACAAGTATTTTCCTCCCATGTGGGCCCTCAAATTAACTGACCTTTTATCCTTCATCATCTAAGTGACTTCCTTGTTTCAGTTCTGTTGGTATAGTATTTGAGCCATCAACAAATGGTAATGAATGTTGTGAAAGCAACATTGCCTAGAACTTTTCCCCTTAAGGTGTGGAAAAGGCTAAAATTTTAAGAATGAAAAACATCTTCATAGATGAAAATTTTACAGTGTAGATTAAACAGAAACCAGGGGCTAATATCAAGAAAGAGAATATAGTTCATCAAGGATAAATTCTCAACATTGACCTAGGTGGTATACAGAGTATTCAAAATATACGTGCTATACATCATGCTTATAATTAAAGGTAATGATTCATAGATGAAAGACATTTAATTATTAGGCAAGACAAACAAAAAATTTTAAAAATATGTTCAAACGTATGGTATGGATTATTTGTTCAGTCAATAAACACTTGTTGAGGAATCATCATTTGACAGACTCTGTGTTGTATCTATATCTCAAGACATAGAGAAGAATAAAATATTAGTTTCTTCATTGAAGAAAGTCAAGTGTTAGGGGAAAAACAGATAACTATCAAAAAGTTACAAAACAAACATACTCAAAATAAATATGTGTTTCCATGGGAAATTCCATGGGAACATTTAAATTGGATCGATTAAATTGGCTGGGGTAATGATATTTCAATTTGATTTTTAAAAAAAAAAGGTGAATGTGCCAAACTGAAAATGGCGGAAGGCCTCTATAAGCCTAAGACATAGTTTGGCAAAAGAAACAGAAGAATGAAAGGTTGTGGTGGACTGACTGATATACAGGTATATGGTGGGAACCAGTGGGAACTGGTGGAAAAAGAGTCTGGGATGGTGGATTAGGGTTCTGTGTACTGTGCCACGGGTTTTATCCTGCAGGTAATGAGGGATCATCTGATCGATTCCCGAGAGAGGTGAGCCATATTCCACATGGGACCGAGTCTGGATATTGGTGGAGTAAAATGGTTACCTGAGTAGTCATGGCAATGTTACAAATGAAGTTCAAAAGATAAGAAACTGTTTAACACTAAGAAAGCCAAATCTGTCAAGCGTGAGGGTTGAGCACTATAGATGAATAATAGTACAAGGTAAATGGTTGCAGGAATGGGTTGAAAATAAAAAGGCAAAGACAGAGTAAAATAAAGGGCCCCAAGAGCTAAGGAACAGCAGATTCACTTAATAGGCCTCTGTCTAGGACATGGGTGAATGAGTTGGTTTAGTTAAAAGGGATGAAGTTTGGGGAGCTCTCGCAGAGGGAGACATAGGTTGTTAAACAAGGAGCTAACATAATCAGACTGGTATTTTAGAAGAATTGCACTGGAGTATGGTGAAAGATGGAGCGAAGATAAGGGTCAGGAAAGCGTTCTTTTGTGAATGTGAAGAAGAGAAAGACTTTGGTGAAAGTTTAAACTAGTTTATGGGCCACAACAGTTTGGTCAGGAAGGGGAAAGATAAAATGCTGCCAGAGAGGTTGGGTAAGACTGCAAGGTGAGTGCAGGATGGGTAGAATTTGGCTCAATAGTGAGGAATGGGAAAGGGACTCCATATTGGAGGAGAAGGTAGCAGAACTTATTACAGGATAGCAGATTTGGGAAACTCCTGAGCCAGACTCCATCTGGCGTTTTGGTATTCATATCTGGTTCTCAGCATGAACTCTCTTTTGGAAAGGATTAGTAAATGTCCTCAGCACCATATTTGTTACTGTCCAGTGGCTTCCTGCATCGGTCACCTTCAAAAGTTTCAGCACAAAATCCTGTGGGTTGGAAACCAATACAATAATAGTTAATCCATGGGTTTGCATTTACATGATATTTTGTGCCTTGGTGTAGTAGAAAGAACTTGAGCTTTAACCACATACTAGCTAAATGATTGATGAAAATGATCTTACAATAAGAAAGATGGCTGTCTGTCAAAAGAAAAGAATGATATGGTTTAAGTATCTGCACATTGAGCTGCAATCAGAGATGTTCTGCAGACTGGCCACTGCTTTTTAATGATTGCATTGACGTCAGACGGTGTCTAGTGCAACCAGCTATTTTTATATATCAATTGAAAATGCAGCAGCTATCTCTCCTCTGAATTAGATCACAGAGCAGCAATGAAAACACATGACTTTGCCATAAGGTAGATGAACAGGCACTTCTGGGTTATGTTAGAGAGAATATGAGTTTTTCTCAATCTGCCCTGGAGCAATGGTTACAGTTGTCAATTGTACAAATCACTGGGTACCTTTTCGTGAAGTATTTGTAAGAAAGGAAGAAAGGGAATATTTTGCTTTGCTGATCTGAGAATAGCTACAACAAAGCTGAGCACAGTACACACAGCAAACCAATCTTTAGGAAAGCAGCAAGATTATCAATGCCAGACAAGGAAAGAATGTCCTTTTCTCCATGTTAATGCTGATTCCATTAATGAAAAGGAAGTTGGAGGATCAGGTTCTGGTCCAAGGTCCTGGGACCCAGGACGTCTGAGGGGCTGGGTCCATGAAGAATTCCTCCAACTGGATATTTTCTGATGCAGCTGTTCCTGAAAATACCTCCTGATGTTGCCAGATGGGAATCTCTGGATTAGAAAACCTTATGCATAAGCACACAGCAGCAGGACAACTGTGACTGGTATTCTCAGCAGAATGCCAGAGTAGCTCTGAATATATTTTCATGTACTATCATACTTTGATTAGAAATAAAGAAAATGCATGATCAACAAACATTACATAATACATGTTCAAGAAAAGTCTCATAATCATGATGACAAAGGTCATAGTAGATTTTTAAATCTCCCTATATAAAATCAGTTCCTTGTGTATACAGTTTTGTTTGTTGGAGAAGGTAGAAACCCATTATTTTATAAAATTTGGGGGTGAGGTGGGAGGAATAAACATTCAAATTCAAAACCATCAGCTTTTTGTGACTCTATGCTATTTCCCAGATAAGTACAGACATTTCAGCAAGACCTTTGTTTGCTGGGCAGTATTATATGACTGCACTTTATAAATTCCGAATTTTAAATTACAGATGATAATATCAGCTCCCAAATGTCAGACATCATGATGAATTGGCTTTTCAACTTTTTAAGCCATTCACTTTCCTCCCTTCCGAAATGTCAAATGTAAAGTCTCCTGATAACAAAGCTGTGCAAAGCTTGTTATTATTTTTTTTTGCAGGAATCATAATACTTAATGGACAATTCTTCCAAAGCTTGTTTTATATGTGTTCTTTGCTTGATATTCTAATTGTTCAGACTGTACCAGCTTTTGAGTAAACTAATCAATAAAATCTACCTCCCCCCAATATAGCAGTTTTGAAATGATTGTTTTCACCACTTCCATAGCACTAAAATTGTGTTTAAAATGTCAATTTAATGCCTAATTAACCTCTTACTTTTAATTTGTCTTTTGTTCCAGACACACAGATGTTCATTTTGCCCTTTTGGAAAGTGAAGGTAGAACAGCTAAAAAAAGAATGTCAAGGCTCATGAATTTTTCTTCATTAACATCTTAATCTAGCAAAACTGACATAAGAATTGCACCTTGTATTTCATGGAATGTTGTTATAAAGCGATATTAAAAACTGGACTGTCATGCTTTTTTCCCCTACTTTCATCAAAGCTAAAATGGAAATATTAATTGTTGAAAAGCACAGAAATTAAACTGTCGGTTGTTTGAATGATTGATTTACTTATAAATATACTCATTTACTCATTCATTCAACACATCTTTATAGGGTATCAACCAAGTTCTAAGCCTTAGGCTAGGTAAGAAATACAAGGTAAACAAAACACAGCATCTGAGTTTGAGGAGTTGGAATTTATGGTGGGAACAAGCTATATCATAGTTATAGTAAATAAGAACTTAATAGGTCAAAGACTCTTTTTTCTGAACATGACTTTGAAATTAAGTTCCTGAAGTTCTGAAAAGACTATTACACAATAATTCTTTAAAAAAAACAAAAAAACAAAAAACCTTACCTCAACTATAATCTAACATAGCTCTAAAGGATACTCCTCCTTTGTTTAGGTCACATTGCCATTCAGCTTTTATCCTCTTGCTCAGCTTTGTCTCCTTGAGAACATGAAACAGGTCGCAGTGCCCTTATACATGCCGTAATACAAACAAATTCAGATTTTCAACAGTGACCCTCATCAAAATAACTGTATGTATTGCTCCATTTTCAGCAAATTCGTTTTCTATTTTCTTTTGTATCTCTCAGGAAAATGAGTGGGCATTCTAACCAACTCTGATGATTGCACCCTTGACTTTCATTACAAAGAGAGCACATAACTTTCAGATAGTTTAATTGATGAACAAAACTGTTGACACAGAAGATTCAAGCACCCTTCCTCCGTATTAGCAATGGAAGAGAATAAATATCGTCATATGTTATATGCACCAAACATCTCTGGAAGGATGCGCAAATTCAGATTCCAGAGGCCTCTATCTTCAGATTAAAACTATTGTGCACCACCAGGAATAGAAGGGCTCAACATTTTTCTCAATGAGAAAAGCATCGTCAATTGAAGATTGTTAACTCTGATAATAACACCTAACCTTATTAAATTACTACCACGTTCTTACTTGCAGGTACTGTGATTCACTTTTCTCATGCGTCATCTCAGGTCAGCGCTCACTTCCACTGCTACAATCCTAAAAACAGGCCATGGGCCAAGGGTAGCCCCGTACATGTAGGACACCTTCAAAGCCTACTGCATGTAATCACAACTGCCAACTGGCTGTGCAATTTAATGGAACTTGAATATACAAAGGTAACTTCGGGGGCGCCTGGGTGGCTCAGTAGGTTGCGCATCCGACTTCAGCTCAGGTCACGATCTCACGGTCCGTGAGTTCGAGCCCCGCGTCAGGCTCTGGGCTGATGGCTCAGAGTCTGGAGCCTGCTTCCGATTCTGTGTCTCCCTCTCTCTCTGCCCCTCCCCCGTTCATGCTCTGTCTCTGTCTCAAAAATGAATAAACGTTAAAAAAAAAAAAATGAAAAACAAAGGTAACTTCGGCGGTGAGGACCAAAGAGAGTTCTATTTATTACTTTATAATTGAGAACAGAGAAGTAAGCAAAGTTGTATGGTGCTGAGGGATCAGAAGGAGTGGAAATAAGAATGAAGCTCTGGGTGGTATATGGTGGCTAAAGGACTTTTCATCACAAAGATGCCTATGGTTTAGTTTTAATTTGTTCATGTGTATGTGATGTTACATTTGTACTCTGATATACTTCAGGAAAGTCTGCTACTCACACAAAATGACCTTGTATAGGTAGGTGTATGTGTATGTTTATTTTTGTTAGTTAATGGTAGGGGAGGGTTGCAATTTTTTTGGATATGTGAAAAATATGGAAAAGATCCAAGGGTCTTTGTGTCAGTCTCAGGGTCGACACAGTCTGAGAAGAACAACATGAGCAAAAGAGCAAGTCAATTCATAAAATGAGAGCCAACTGTTGGAAGCAGGTGTCCAAAGCCAGAGGTGGCCATGAGAACACAAGTCCCTCTGGAGCTCATGGCAATCTGGGAAAGGGCTATGGTCTTCCACATTCCAGGGAATGGGGCTCAAATCAATCCTCCTTACACCTAAAGAGTTAGGGAGAACTCCAAACACCCACAATACATAAGTATTTGCTTTGAACAAAACATTTTCCCCACAGTTATTACAGAAACCTCAATCAAAAGATTTGTCTATCCATTGCCTGTTAGAAGGCTGCAGGAATATAAGACTATGCATTGTTTAAATCTCTTAAAAACAAGATTTGTCTTCCCTATAAGAACTTCATTTTCTAAAAGTAGGTTGGTCCCTAGAGAAGGGATTACTTAAATTAAAGCCAATCTGTGAAAAATGTAATTATTTCTCTGGAGTGTCAGCATTTACTTCTCTTGGAGAAAGCCTGCAGATCTGGGCTGAAATGGTGTAGTTGCATCAGTATTTTGTGGTCACTGGACTTGGTTCCTTGTATCTGATAACATATTTCTATAAAGGCTACATGTGAATTTTATGTAAAATGGTTATTGAAACGTTGTCCATTTTGTTATTTGCTGTCTGTGGCAAAGACTAGCAGTTGCTCATCAAATGTTTTTGGTGGTATATGCCTAACCAGAAGAAGACTACATACACTTCCCAGCCAACCCTGCATCCTTACATGATGTGGCATGTGCTCAGTTGGAGACAATAAAATAGGTGCAAAAGTGGTTGTATGAGAGAGAGTTCTGGAAAATTCTCTTAAATGGAAAAGGACAAATAAGTTTGGAGGCTTACTCCTTCTTTCTCACAGCCTGAAAGTCAGATATGATCACTAAAGCACCATAGCCGTGTTGGACCAAAAGGTACTTTAAGGATGGAAAGCACAAATCTTGAGAATGATCAACCAGAAAATAAGAGCCCAAGTCCTTGGTGACACCATGAAGATTCTCCAAAAAAGCTTGGGATTTCTTCTTTTATTTGAGAGAGAAATAGCTGCTCATTTGTTTAAAGCATTTTTATTTGGGGGTTTCCTGTTTTATGCAGCAAATCTAACCATCTGTCTCCTGCATAAGGATATGAATTGTAAGTTTCTTGTAGAGTTTATTGCCAGGAAAGGCTACTTCTTTCATGATAGGTTTACTTTATATCTCGCTGCCTTTGCTTTTTATGGAGAGCGGAGTTAAATTTAGTGGTTGTTGCAAAATGATTCTTGCCGTAGGCTGCTGGTATAATGATTTTTATCTCTCCCCCTGCCCCCAGCCTGAACCATTCCCACATCTTCTGGTACTTTACCTCCATTTGAATTAGTTCAGTTGCATATATTTATAAACTTCCTGAAAAGTGCTTTTAAAAATATATAATCACAAGATTTAGCATGATCTGCTGATTAGGTGACATTACATTTTAGGAAAGAATCATATAGGAAAAGGGAACTGTGGTTTAAATCACTGATATTTAACCAAAAACTGCTTCATTCTCCCTTAGCTGAAGGATATTTTCTCTCTGCTCATCAAACAAATCAAAGACAAACAAGACCTATGTATATTTACAAAAACAATTCAGATTATAAATATAGTTCTTACATTGTTGCTTCTTTTGTATACACAGAACTCAGGAACTCAAGACATGGCTATTTACAAGCACTAAATTCATCAGTGTTGGGTAATGAATTTTTATGCTAACCGCTAGTAAGGAGCAGAGCCAAAATTGAAACTCAGGTCTCTGTCCTCTGTCCATAGTACTGATTCCTACTTGTAGAAAATGATGAGATGGTGCAATCTCAGGGGGAAACAAAAGGTAATGTACCAACAGCCACCATCTCCTCACCTCTTCAAAGATGTTTTGTTTTGTTTGTTTGTTTTTTAATTAAAAAGAACAGATAAAATAACAAAATAAACCTCTACAGATCAGTTACACCTCTGCCACCAGTCTGAGGTGCTGACCTCTGGAAATCAGTGACCTGATGGTGACACACCTCCTGCCCCTCCCTAACGTGTTCTCTTGCTTCCTTCAAACTGGAAACTTCTCAGATCTGCAGGGACTTGCTATAGGTATAAGTACACTGGGGCCAAGAGTGGGGTGATTTTCACTACAGTATAAAAATAAATGCAGAAAATATAAGCCTTGTTTTCATTAGAACATAGTTCTGACTGTGATCTATTTTGTGGGTGGATAAAGTTGTGTAGACAATAAATGATTTTGCTAAACTTACTGTCAACGAAAGAATAAAGTTAAATTTCCTTCAGGCAATTTCTTATATAAATACAAAGATTTTCTTAAGCATAATTCAATAGAGCAAAATAAGGGTATTTTCCCAAAAACCTCTTAACAGCCCAGAGAGAGAAAAGACTTAAGTTCTCCTGAACATAGCTTCAAGTTTCTAGAATTATACAGGCCCCTCTATCCACTCCTCCATCAGCATTTGCCTTAGGACAGTGATATTATGTTCGTTTCTGTATGAACCCCTCACTGTTGACTCTTGTAGAGCAGGGACTACAGCACAGTGACAGGAATACGTATAATGGGGACTCAGTGCCAAAATGAAATGAATTTCTGATTTAAGTCCCTCTTGCCAGTTCCCTGTTCTTTACAGAAAGAGAGATCTGCTCATACTCACACTTTATTCTTACTTGAAGATTTATATCTCCCTCTACATTCTCCTCTCCAAGCCACTTGTGTTTAATTGTTATTCTTTCTTAGTTTAATGTGGTTCTTGATCTTGACTGTTCCATTCCCTTTGAATGAGTGATGAACTAACTCATTCCTTCATTGATAAACTAAGAGTAGTTCCAACAGCAATGAAAACAAGGCATGCTAATTAAAATGTCAAAGAAGATTCAGTGGCTGGCAGGCTGGCATGAATGGCTGTCTCCTGGAAGACCTGGTCTGGTCACTGAGGGCTGAGAGCCTAAAATCAGACTCCACAATGCACTTGCCATCCTGTTATATGGCATGCATGAGGCATGAGTTTTTGTTATCAATCAGTTATTCTAATTAAGAAAAATTAGTCTAATTAGTCCATAAATGGACTGTCCACTTCCAAAGAATTTAAACATAATAAAATATAATAAATTTTTAAAAATACATTGTGCAGATATTTTTTCAAAATCCAGAAAGATTGCAAGACTACATGTGGAGCATACCCAGCCCCTGGAACATACTAAGTTATGTTAACTGGGATAAGTTGTATATTATAATACAAATTGTTAAGTTCAGACATGTTAGTAAACAAAAAGGTGTAGATAAAGAAGTCATTATATTTAACCAGCTTTGAAAAGTGGTTTTGATAACATCTTAAAATCAGATTGGGCAAAAAACAAAAAACAAAAACAAAAAAGCAAAAAACAAACCTATATGGAAGCAAAATGCTGAGGAATAAATGACTAGGTAGTATCTATTTTTAAAGAGCTTCTTCCAATAACAATTTATTAACATTAAACTATTAGGACATACAAGACACTGAGCTAGGAATTCTGCAGGAGTAACAAGATATAATATCTGTATTCTACCCTAAAAAGGCTTGACTGATAAGCTATTTATGGAAGAATAGTAAACTCACAGTATAAGGCAAACCATTAAAGCAAAATTATAGGAACAACTATATACTCTCTACAGCTCAGAGGTAGGAAAGGTTTCTGCTTAGAGCAAAGCTCACAGGCCACCTAGGAAGGTTAAGTAATTCTATCTAAATGAAACGAATTTCTAGGAGTCTGTCCTTTGTCTCATGCTCCCGTTCCCGTCTCCATCCTCAAACCCAATCTTATTCCCTCATTGAACAAACCATATTTAAGCTCCCAAGGATACCATCCAAAACTCAGTGGATAACAGAGTAAATAAAGTAATGTGAGACTAAATTTCCAGCCTAATGTAAAGGACTTGGGTCGCAAATTTGAGATTGAAATTTATTAGGTAGTGCTTCTACCTATAGAGAGGAGAGAAAGAATCTGTATTGGATAGAGAGAAAATTGGGGCAGTGATGCATTCACATGAAGCCCTCGGCCAACTCCACCAGAAATTTCCAAATTTAGCTGGGATTCCTTAAGAGTTGTTTCAAGTTGGGTCAATAGGCCCAGGCTGTCACTTCCCCAAGTCAACCAGTTAGTGAAGCAGCAGTCTTGGGAAAGGATTTAGGCATTGGGCAAAGTTAGCTCTCTTTGAGACAATCCTGAAAGAGGGCAGACAGCTCTCCACAGCCCCAGGAATAAATCTTTCAGTGCTGGAGGGGGATCAGAGTGGCATGAACCAACATCCACACAGGTTACACGATTTTTTCCATTTAAGTTTTCTTTTTTTTTTTTTTAATTTTTTTTTCAACGTTTTTTATTTATTTTTGGGACAGAGAGAGACAGAGCATGAACGGGGGAGGGGCAGAGAGAGAGGGAGACACAGAATCGGAAACAGGCTCCAGGCTCCGAGCCATCAGCCCAGAGCCTGATGCGGGGCTCGAACTCACGGACCGCGAGATCGTGACCTGGCTGAAGTCGGACGCTTAACCGACTGCGCCAACCAGGCGCCCCCATTTAAGTTTTCCAAAGTCAAAATTGTCTTCACTCATTTTATGCACATATATACATTACACTGATGTCCCCTAATTAGTATTATAATTATCAATTCTGAGTAATAAAAAATACTATAGCTTTGTAGATGACTGTGATATTGTGACTTATATACTAAGAAATATACGTATTTGGTCTTTGTCTTATTTCTGGCACAGAGCTCCTAAAACCCTTGGAATATCCTAAGAGATGAGACCAAACAACAAAGTCTTTTGTTATGTTAATGCTATTACTTTTGTTTTTTTCTTCCCCCAAAATTATGTTTATTAACATACATCATTTATATAGATTTTTTTGTTTTATTTTTAAATTTATTTTTTAAATTTAAATCCAAGTTAATTAACATATAGTTTAATAGTAATTTCAGAAATATATTTAGTGATTCATCACTTACATATAACACCCAGTGCTCATCCCAACAAGTGTCCTCCTTAGTGCCCATCACTCCTTTAGTCCTTCCCCCACCACACCTGATCAGCAACCCTCAGTCTGTTCTGGTATTTAAGAGTCTCTTGTGGTTTGTCTCTTTTGCTATGTTAATGCTGTGACTTTTGAATCCACCTAGGGATGGGGTGAGTTGCCAGGAGAACAGATCCCATGATTAGAGGGTTACAATTTTCAGAACTTTGGCAAGGGCAGAGGGGCTGGAGATCATTAGGGCTAACTTCCAAAACCACGACCTCCTGAGCAGGGGTGAGCAGATTCTTTTCATTTAGGGTTTGGGGTGAATATTCAGAAGGGAAACTTTATCACCACATGT